TAAAAATTAATATATGTTATTCACATATAATGTAATCCTCAGAACAATGAATACAAAAAGCTTTAGAGTGATACACAGTCAAAAATTGATACATCAAAATGTAAATAAATACACTCAACTCACAGGAAGGAAAAATATAGAATTTTTAAATGAACAAAGGGAAAACAAAACAAATTAAAAAGACTTAATTCTTAACATAGAAGTACATTGAATGTACTTCTTGGTAATGTACTTTGCCATTTACTTGGTATATTTACTTATTGGTATATTATACCAATAAGTATAATATTGGTATATTAATATATAATAATATATAAGTATAATAATATTGGTATATTATAAACTGATAAAGTGAATTGCATAACATCACCCAATGTTATGTTGCCTAAAAATATTTTCAAATATAACAAAAATCATGTCAAAAGTTTAAGGAAGTAGATAATGGAAACATGAAATAAATGCCAATTAAAAGAGAACTTTAATTAACTTATTTTAGAGAAGCTGTGCTCTAATATATAATGTACTTTTTCCAGAGCACCTGTCTTTCTCCTAATTTTGGTGCTTACAAACTATGTTCTAATAGCTTTAGTATCCCAAAACATTGATGAGAAAAGAAAAAAATATGGAAGGGCTGTAATAATATTAAGTAAGGTAAATTTCAAAGAACAATTAGCAGAGACAGAGAGGGTTGTTGCATGATGAAACAGAAGTCAGTCTAGGAACAATCCATAATAAAAATGGTCATTTTACCAATAAGTCATAAAAATTTTTAGTGTGGCTGTACCAAAATACCAAAATAGAGTATTGCCGAATATGTGAAATAAACATTTATAGATATGTGGAGAATTAGGCAAATCCACAATTTTAGTTGGAGGTGTTCTTCTCTCACTAACTAATAACATAAGTAGAGAGAAACACAACTTTATAAGAAAATAGGACCAAACTGGTTGTTTTGTTATCTTGATTCAAACCTACACTTGTCTGGGGAGAAGGGATCTCAATAGAAGGATTGCCTCCATCAGCTTGTCTGTATGCAAAATTATAGGGCCTTTTCTTGATGGGCATGGCAAGGTACAGCCCACTGTGGGATTGTTACCCCTGGGCAAGTAGTCCTGGGTTATGTAGAAGCAGGCTGAGCAAGACATGGAAATAATCCAGTAAGCACCATTCCTCTATGCCTTCTGCTTCAGTTCCTGCCTGCAAGGTTCCTGCCTTTAATTCCCACCCTCACTTCCCTTGGTGATGTCAGGAATAAACCCTTTTGTGTCCAACTTGACTTCTGTCATAATGTTTATCACAGCAACAGAAATCTTGCTTGGACAGGGCCTAAGCAAACTATCCAGAACTCCCTAAACAGTAGCAGTAGAATGCGTATGCTCTGCGAATGGCTACAGAATGTTTGCCATATTAACCCATGTTCTGGACCATAAAGCAAACCTCAGCAAACCGAAATGCCTATAGTAATCCAAATACACCCAGATAATCCACAGAAATCCGGGAGATTTTTCAAAACCACTGGACTATGTGAAAATGATACACTGCTTAACAGCCTAGATGGGCTGTCAACTAGAGTGCATGACAGTAGTACATGCATACTTTAAAAAGAGAAAAAATCTCCAATCATTTAAGCATCCATTACAAAAAAGTAGAAAGATAATTGCAAGTCAAGTTTTTTTTTTAAAGAAAGGAAATAAATACAAATGAAAGTGAAAACACAAACTATAGAGCAAATATTGAGGCAAAGAATGAGTCTCCATAGACAGTAAACATCTAAGCAAGACTGACGAAGGAAGAGACATGAATTGCCAAGTATCAGAAATGAATAATGGATGTCATTACATATCCTTGAGAAACATGAGAAACATGCTAACAGATCATTTTGACAGTCTAGATGAAATGGGAAAATCCCTCAAAAATATGAACTACCATACAATAGGAAAGATGATTTGAATATCTGTGTAACTTAAGAAAATAAAATTTATATTTCCCAATTTTCACACCTCCATTATCAAAGATGACAAAAGAAAAATCACACAAGCAGCATATTAATTGATGTAAAAAAAATTTCACATTTGGCAAAAATTGTCATTTATCCATGACTTAAAAATCTTAGGAGAAACAAAGAGGGGAGAGAGGTAGGGAGACTCTCTGCTTGATACTGACCACTTATAAAACTGTCCAGCTTTGTTATGTTAGCCCCCAGAGAAGACGGCCCAGACATATTTAATTGTGAATGTTTAACATACTGGAGTACATCCATGGCACAGAATATGCTCTAGTGAAAGTATTGAACTATCTTGAAAAACACGATGTATGTGAATCTCTAGAAATTATAAGGGTAGAGTGAATCCCAAGGAGTTATATACCATATGATTCTTGGAATAGCCAAATTCTTAAAATGATGAAATAATTGCTGCTGAGGGGTAAAGAATTGGGACTGGGACTGATTCAGAAGGGTGTGGCTATCTAAGGGAAACAGGGAGCCTGTGATCGTCTATCTCACTGACAGTAGCCTAATTGTGATATGGTCTCATAACTTTTCAATATATCACCACAGGGAAACTGGATAAAGAATGCATGGAGTTCATGGAATATTTTCTTCAATTGCATAGGGATCTACAGTTATCTCAAGAAAAAGTAAATAAGAGAAATAATAAAGACAATGGGAGTATGCTGCCCAGTCATCTAAAGACTCTAAAACACCAGAACGTACATCCACACACTCAGACAGTTCACGTGCATCACAGATCTGTCAGATTCAGTAAATATTTGTTTGTGCTTTCACAACACCTTACTTTGGCCAAGTTTTCAGTTTTTAGATTTTATTCTATCACTTTTCTGCTGGTGTTAAAATGGTGCCATTGGTACACAATGATCTTTTTTAAAGTAATTTCTTGGCTAAAAAAAAAAAAAAGCCCTTTCCACCATCTTGGCGCCTATGGTGGCCTGCTGGGAACAGGACTTCTAAGCAGCAAACATGCCTGGAAGGCCGTGGTGCAAGGCCATGGTTGCTGGCTGCAAGCGAGATCTCCGGAACCAAAGAGCGCACATGGCTCTTTTTAAAACTTAAGGTGTTTATGTCCGAGATGAAACTGAGTTCTTCTTAGGCAAGAGGTGTGCTTATGAGTGTAAAACAAAAAACAATTCAGTGACTCCTGGAGGCAAACCAAACAAAACCAGAGAAATCTGGGGCAAAAAAAATCTCAGGCCCATGGAAACAGTGGCATGCATGGTTTGTGCCAAATTTCGAAGCAACCTTCCTGCGAAGGCCATTGGATACAGAATCCATGTGATGCTGTGCCCTTCCCGATTTAAACTAATGAAAAGTACATAAATTAAAGAGGAAAAAAAAAAAGAAAAAAGTTAGTCCTCAATCAATTCACCAAATTATGACACAAAATTTAGCATGTGATGAGGAGCAAAAGTCCAGCGTCTCAGCTCGGGATCCCGGCTATGCAGTGCCCATGGTAACAGCGAGATAAAACAGTCTCCTCTGTGGGCGGCTCATGACTCAGAAATCTGTGCAGCGTAGCTGTCGAATGCACATGGTCGTTTTTCATGTGAGTGAATTTGTCTGAAAGCGGTGGTGAATAATTCTGAATAAACACAAATTTGAAATCTTAGAGAAGAAAGGTTGGTTCTCTCAGGTGGTTTCTACATCAGTCACTCGTGGCAGTGCGTGCCAGGACTCAGGGCTCTGAAACCCTGCATCCTGAACTCTAACAAGGGCCAGTTTGCAGTTGCCAGCTTCGTTTCGGCATCCTGTTATGTTCCTATTAATATTCCAAACACTACCTTTTGTATATACACTAGAGACAATATATTCATCCTATATTTTGTTCGTATGTACTTTATGACATTATTGCATATGTTAATATATTTATTAAAATTGAAGTTTTAACAAAATAATTATAAATTAATATAGCAAATCAAATTAAGCTAAATTATTTGCTGATTTGTTCATGTTAAACTAATATGTGAAATGACTGGTAGTTACCTTTTCATAATAAGTAAGAAGTTGAACGCGTTCTGCTTGTCTGTGCTATAATAACTCAGTAGACTGCAGTTTATGATAGGCTATTTACCATTCAGTTTTATAACTTGGTGGATTAGTTCAGATGTAGATAGTAAGGACTTAACACATAGCACTCAGCTTAAATAATTCTGCAGAAAACATTTCTTTTAATGAAGAATGCAGTTTGGGGAGAGAGAATGTCTCACATAATTTAAGATTGTTTCCTGGTGAACTCAGATAACCAAATGCATCCTATGTGCATACATAGTAGGTCTCCTTTCTTCTGTATAAACTGCCTATTTTACCACTCACCTTATATTAGACTCTGTAGTTTTGTTGTTAATATTTATAATAACATGGGCCATCATTTTAAATAGACATACATATTACATATATATTAATAAAGAAAAATTTTAAAAATATTTAAAATTCATTGTTTCATCATCCTCTGACAACATACATTAGACTTGATTTATAATTTATCAGTTATAAAAATTTATAATTATTAGAAACTATAAAATAAGCCATACATAGTGGTGCACACTTTTAATCCCAGCACTCAGGAGGTAGAGGCAGGCAGATCGCTGTGAGTTCTAGGACAGCATGGACTACAAAGTGAGTCCAGCTAAGGATACACGGGAAAACACTGTCTCAAAGAGGAAAAAAGAAAAGAAAGAATAAGAAAGAAAAAATGAAAGAAATTATAAAATAAAAATTATTAACCATTTTTAACACTTTGAAATCTATTGAATGTTCCTTAAATATCTGGTTTCTCTTCCTCACACAAAGACATTAAAGTAGCCTTTTATAGCCTTCTAAAGCAGCTTCAAACACTCTAGCCCCTGAATATGTTTACGTTAACCTGAGATTTCTGTTGTCCCTGGTTAAGCAGTTTAGACTATTTCAAGCATATCTTCTGCAAAGGATTTATTTTATGTTAAGCCTGTTTCTAAGAGCTAAAGAGCATTTTTTTTTTTCCTTCAAGGTGCGGGGCCCTCCAGCTGCAGGGGCATTTAAAGAAAGGCCAACCAAGCCTACCGCTTTCCGAAAATTTTATGAGCGAGGAGACTTCCCAATCGCCCTTGAGCACGACTCGAAAGGAAACAAAATTGCCTGGAAGGTAAGTCTGGGCACAGCTGTGACAGCCAGCTGCGCTCGCGCGGGAGTGACACCCTGATGCCAAACAAACTTGACTGCTAAGTAAATAAACTGGAGTAATTTCTCAGCAAACTGATGGTGGTGGGAGAGCTCTTAAGGCCCCCTGTGTCAGCCGTCCACCTTGACTAACAATTAAATTATAGCCCTCAAAGAAGAAAATGACAGAGTTGCTTTGCCTTAGAGAATTGTCTGCAGCCCAATTCATCTCTATTTTTATGAGAGCCTGGCAGCCCGGCCTGCTTCCAGCAGTCCATCAAATGATGGACCTGGCGGCTGGATGCAGGGAGCAACAGCCATTTATCTCCCCCAGATTTCACCTTCCTGCAGGACACTTCCAAATGGAAGCTTTAATTACCTAAATGGATAGGTCAGGGCTGTGTGCTCTCTGTGAAAGCAGAGTAGAATACACAAGGCGGCGGCTCCGTTGTCCCGGCGCCGCGCTGCCATCGGCCGGGACAGGGCTGTCATCCTTGCCTGTTAGAGGCTGACCTCGGCCACCCAAGCCATTACAGCATGGACACTTTGGCGACAAAAGGTTAATTGGCTTCAAAATAAATGTATTGCCTAATGACTCCATCTTAATGTGGCCATGCCTCCTTTCCAAGACTTGCTGATGTGACTTGTGAAAACAGCCAGTCTCTATCGGGAGAAGGCTTTTACCATTTAATTTGAGGAATGGATGTTATCTCTGACTGCTTCTGCTATTTAATTATTTTTGTTATGAACAACTCTGCTTTTGGTGGTATTTATCAGCTGAAAGAGCCTTTCGGCCTAAAGACAGCAAAGCCACTGCAGGAGTCCACGTCAGGTTAGGGAAAACAAAAGGTCTGGCCCAAACATCACGGATTAAGTGAAGAAGCTGACACTTGGAATAAAGAAGTCAGTGTCTTTGTCTGGAGGTGGGAACTGTCTATAATTAGGAACAGTTCGATTATCGTGAAAACCCAAAATTGTTGAAATATGGAATTAATCAGGTAAATAGCTTGGGGAAGGTGCATCAAACAAACCTTTCCCCCCTCCCACACAGGAAGACAGAGAACTGTATGTATTTTTTCTAGTGTGTCTTTAAAATCCTATCTCTATCATTAGCATTTCTAGATTTTGAGCAGTCATCTGAGCTTAGATGTATTACCAATGACAAAACAAAACAAAACATGGTGGTGTCTTTACTGTTAAGCTTTGCTGTACATGTTCAGTGAAGGAGGTAAGAAGCTTTATATTCTCCTTTGATTCGTCACCATTAGAACGGAATCTCCTTTGTGAAGGTGTATGGGTTGTGAAGAAAATGTCTAGCATGTATACCTGCTTTGAATATGCTAGTCTTAGAATGAGTAAGCACTCCAAACATTTACAGCGGGTTTGGGCTCAATTATATATGATTCCGCACATGGATTTTGTGTTTGATTATCTATGATCTGGTTAATATTAGAAAACAGAGGAGTTTCTACAAAGTGTAACTAATGCTGAGTTAAGATTTTCTAATAGTTTATAGGTAGATGGGTTAGGATGTTTTAAATAATTTCAGCCTACACATAAATTATATTTATGAAAATTTATAATGTGGATTTATTTTGATCTCATCTAATAATATAACTTTAAAGACATTAAGAAGTTAGAGTTACCTTGCAAGGCTATTTACCTTGAAAATAAATTATTAAGAAATAATTAATAAGGAGGTGAGTATTTTCACTTCATATTTGTAAATCCAACATTCCATAGGGGCAAGTGCAGCCATTCTTTCTGGGAATTAATTTGCTGGTACTACTATTGATTATAGGACTGATTGAGTAAACTAAAAAGCAATGATAAAGAAGAAATATTACCAGCACTAGATGTATAACCACATAAGTCTGGGGAGACGTCTCTTCCCAGAACCTGTGGGTGTCTGTCTTTCAGGACTTTATGGCTGGATTCCAGCATGACTGTAACATGAAAATAAGGCTGATATTGTTGACATAAGCTTGTGGACACTCTCAGTGTGTTCATATTTATTCCTTGATGCATTTACTGTGGAAACAACCTGGAGCTAAGTAGGAAGGAGTTGGCGAGTTATTTAGCGTATCATCCCTAAAGACATGGCTTTGACATTAAAGGGAGAAATACGAAAACCCCAGATCTTGCACTGTATTTATCTGTGTATGGACAGAAAACAGGTCTCCATGTAGCAAATGCCTTTTCTTCAACCATGGTACCTTTCTCACCATAGACTGTCCGGGGACAAAATTCCTCCAGGAAGTGATAGGCCTTTCTCAACACTTCTTGAGATAGAGAATCCAAGGATATTTCCAAGTGCCCTGAACGAGTGTGTACAATTAGGTAATAAAAATTCCAAAGACTCTGTAGCTTGAAATACTTAGTACTCACTGCCAATAAGCCGTGCTGAAGGCTGCCCCCTCCTTTAGTCTGGCAGTTCCACTCTGTACAGGGATGTCCACCCAAGTCATCAAATGCCCTTCTCCTTGCTCAGGATTAGCTGAACCAGCCTGCAAAAGGCAAAAGCAGCTGTGGAGTCACCTCATACATTATGTAATGCAGTTAGAGGCTAGCGACCAGAACCAGGCAAATTCTACTTCCTGGCCCTCACTTTGACTTGATGGAATAGTGTAGTCCATGTGGAAAAGCTCATTTGTTCCACATGCCAAAGCAATATGGCAGGCTGAAGCCTCTGGTGAGCCACTGCAGTCAATTCCTTACAGATTCTCTAAAGATCAGCACATCGCCCAGCACAACTTTCTGCAACTGTGGGAACATTGCACATTTGCACTCTGCTGTGGTACAACTGGCCATATGTGACCATTAAGTTCTGAAATGTGTCTACTGAGACTAAGAAACTGAATTTTTAATTTTATTACATTTCAATTAATTTTGATTTACATCACCACATGGCTACCACATTCAGCTGGAGAACTCTAGATTAAGATTGTGTCCATGAGGCATAAACGCTGGATCTCTTTCTCAGAAAGATGATGGCTATTACATATAATTATTATTGAAAATGAAAATGCAGGCTATATTTGTGTGGTTCTTGCAGAAAATAAATTTCCTGATAAACATGAGAGAAACTTTATAAAATACATATAACAGAAGTTTATATATTCTTGCCCATTGCCAGTTTGTTATCTCTGAGAGATGACTAGATCTGCTCTAGAATATGAAGTTTATCAGCCAAACCTTGAAATTCTTTTTAAATTTGCGAATACGCATTTTTAAGCGTCTCTAAGGAACTTTGGTTACCAGTTATTGGAACCATGAAGAAACACGGTGATAACTTCTCTACATTTCCTGTGATACTGTTAATAGTCAGGAAATAAGGAACCTTATTTTGTGGCTGATATCTTCAATATACACATTATGAGCACAGAAATGGAAAGAAGCCAGGTGGTCTATATAAGGTATGATTCAGATACCAGCATGGACGACAGCAATTTAAAACCTGTATTTGAGTTTTCTCATTGTAATTTCCATTCCTTCTTTTCCTTTACTAATATAATATGAATCACAAGGACAGTTATTGGTATGGGATGGGTGGGGCTCTACCTATAGTTCCATGTGGACATTCTGGAGACAGAACTGTTATGGAAAAAAGTACGTACACATCCCCTCCACCTATGCAGTTTCAGTAAGGGGCAAAGACAAGTACACATAGAGATGGCAGCCTCTGAGGGAGAGGGGTTCAGACCCAGATATTAGAGCTTGAGTTGTGGAAGGAATTGTGGGAGTTTACATAGCTTTCTGGGAGTCGCCCCCTTGATTCTGCCTCACGACATCCTCCATCTTCCAGTCAACTAGTATGAAATCTGCTGTGTCTCCCTCCTGTTTATTTTTTTCTTTCTTCAATTTTCTCTTCTCTGTCACTTCTTTTTTCTCCCCTTCCTTTCCTTTCTCACTTCCTTTTCTCATCATTCTTCTGCTTACAGGATTCACTTTCTGAGAGCTTTTCTAAAGCACACTGAAATCCAATGTCAGTTGGAGGGAACCTGAATAAACTTGAAATAAAACTCATTTCTTGTACACTCAGTGGCCAAAAGAAATATTAATCATAACGGGTTCTATGAAAATCATTGTTTTATTATAAACTTCAAATTCCGCAGTATTGTTTTATTTAATATTGTAGCATTTTGTTTAAAACAGTCACTTCAATGGAGACCTTAGAAAAAAGAATTAGGAAAAATACTCTAAGCACATTAGCTTTTTAAAAAAATCTACTCTGTTATACTGTAAACCACTCATTTTAAAGACGAAAAGAGCTACAGATACTCTGTAGTCTTCAAATTCTTTCACTATAGAGAGACATTTTGATAAAGTAGATATAAATTCAGTTTACCTCTGTCACTCCATGAAACTTGGCTATGTGACAATGCAATAAAAAGTTTTGTTCTCTACTAAATTTCCAAATTTATCAACTTAAGGATACCCATATATTATATGGCTCTGACTAAGAAATAGACAACCTGTTTAGCCTCCTGGGAAAATTACTATATACTGCAGCCAAGTCATAAACATCTCAAGCTATCACAAAAGGAGAGTCACTAACATGGATTTGTATTTGCCTCAGAGTCCCCACTGTTAGTACCTTAAAGCCTCCTACATGACAGTCTCTAGGCAGTCCTTGTCCAGAGAAGCAAGCTAACAATGGCCTTTGCATCCCTGCTCCTCCACATTTTATATGACCTATAAATAGTTTTGGGAAGTCACTTATATTCAGTAGACCAGACATAAGTAACTGTATGTTAGAATGGACCTTGATAGCCTCTATGCACCTCTTCAGTGACTCACCGGCATAGTATTCCTCTAGGTGAGTGTGTTAATTATACTCCTGCCTATTGATTAAAATTTTGCTCATCAGACTGTTTCTCTATGAAAAATATATCTTAATATTAATCAAGTTAGTATAATTACTCTTTTGTAATACTTTTTAATCAGTGTTTATAAAAATAAGTCAATTATATATGTATAACCCAT